TGATACCATTTATCCGTAGGCATAGGTTGAGGAGTGGGGTTTTGGTCATCAATGACAAATATCTCTGGAACAGATCGACTCAAGATATCGGGGATGACATGGTCGCGGCCTTTACAGTGAATAACCTCAAAATTGAATTGTTGCAATCGAAGTACCCAACGAGCTAAACGACCTGTGGGTTCCCTCAAATTGTGTAACCACACCAGGCTGTGATGATCTGTAATCACCTTAAAACTGTATCCTTCTAAATAGGGTCTCAATTTTTCACAGGCATATATGACCGCAAGGAGTTCGCGCTCCGTGGTGGAGTAATTTTTCTCCGTCTTTGACAGAGAACGAGAAATGTAACAGACTACATGCTCACCATCTTCAGACTCCTGAGAGAGAACGGCACCAATACCATACGCCGAAGCGTCTGTCTGGACGATAAAAGGTTTCGAAAAATCTGGGCATACTAACACTGGAGCTGAAGCCAACGAATTTTTGATAGAATGGAAGGATTTCTCGCAGTCCTCTGACCAATTCCACTTCTCACTCTTACACAACAAAGCAGTCAGTGGCGCGATAACGGTTGAAAAGGAGGGTGAGAATCGTCGATACCATGATGCAATCCCGATAATTCAACGTACCTCGGTAGTATTCGTGAGAGGTTTCATGTTCGAGAGAGCACGGACCTTCTGAGGGTCAACGTGTAAACCATATTTATCGACAACATAGCCAAGGAACCTTAACTCACTCCTGCAAAACTTACATTTGTCGGGGGATAGCGTCAACCCAGCTGAAACTAGTCGCTGAAAAATTGTCTCTAAGATCTCGACGTGCTTCTCGAATGTATCTGTGACAACGATTATATCGTCCAGATATACGAAACAATGCGGCTCCATTTCAGCGCCGAGTAGACGATCTACCAATCTTTGCCAGGTTTCCGGAGCGTTCGTTAGGCCGAATGGCATCTTCTTGAATTGGTAGAGACCTCGCCCAGGGACTGTGAAGGCTGTTTCATCACGGGAGTCAGGGGCCACAGAAACTTGCCAGCAGGCAGAGCGAATATCCAACGAGCTCAGATACTTGGCATTACGAAGCTTGTCAAGAATAGTAGCAATAAAAGGGATGGGGTACGCGTCCTTTTTAGTCACGCGATTGAGGACACGGTAGTCCACGCAAAACCGCCATTTATCCTCTCCCTTAGGCACCAGCAAAACAGGCGAAGACCAAGCGGAATCTGAATTTTCGATAATGTCATCCTTGAGCATAGACTCGATCTCGTCATCGATACGCTTCTGGACTATGGGAGAATATCTATAAGGCCTCAACCTGACCGGTTCACCATCGGTTATGATTTTATGTTCTACTAGACTAGTACACCCAATCTTATCACCCATCAAAGTAAAATACTTATTGGTTAACCCTTCCAACAGTTTTCTTTGGCTGGCACTCAATACCTCATGGGGTATTAACGCGTTAATGACATTATTACTTGGACAATTGGTTTGGAAAGACCAACAACTTTTCCGTTAATCAGGAATTAAATTCATTTTAACCCAAAAATCTATACCTAACAACATGTGAGACAAACTCGGAACTATCAATATTTCTAAAACACATACTTTACCCTGTAAATTCACAGGAACAGAAACGGAACCAATAATTGAACAACCCTGACTATTAGCTACAAAACAATTCTTTATGGGTGGGGGTAATAATTCTACTCCGAGACTTTTCAAAATTTCCCAACCCTCTCCATTCATGAAAGTAAAATTTGCGCCAGAGTCTAAAAGACCCATGAATTCAATGTCAAATATCGATACATTCAAATAAGGGCGATTATCCCCTTCACACTGAGCAAATATATATGAGAGGACTGGTTTAATTGCAAAATCATCGGAAGAGACTTGAATGGTCGCGGTAATTCCCGAGCCCACGTTTCGACCAGTTAGTGGGACGGGGTGGAGTTTCCCGAACGGTTGCAGTCAGGACAAGAGCGTGAAGTTTCGTTCGCCTTTCCACAGCGAGAACAATGTTTGGAAGGGGGCTGCGTACAATTTCTTCTGATATGACCTGTTGCTCTACAGTTCCAACAAGTCAAATGTGTGCGGGGAGAAGTCGTTATCGCGGGATTACTGGGGCTATACTCTGTCGCTATGGCACTGAGTTGTGCTCTGCGTGGTCTTTGGTACATGAGTTCTGGCTCAGCAACCAGATTTGGGTTGGTAGGGGGAGGACGCATGCGCTGAGTACGAGAATGCACCTCCTCAATAAGTTGCGTAGCCTGCTCCAGTTCCGCGATCGACTGAATGGGTTGTAGTGCCAATCTCTGTTGGATGACAGGTTAGAGATTGCGGCGAATTATTCGCAACTGAACAGCTTCACAGGAGGTTCTTGAAGCTTCCTAAACTAATTTCGCATTTGGGCACAAAAGATAACAGATTTCTCCTCTGTGCCTTGGGTGCGGTTTCTGATGTCACACCAAATATCTTCCTCATACTCGGAAGGTAAGTAGGTAGAACGTAAATTGGACTGCAGTTCATCCCAGGTATTTATGGAATCACGAATGGCACGATACCATGATGACGCGGTTCCTGAAAATAATGCAACAGCACTATGTAAAAGTTGCTCTTTTGTGATACCACAGGCATAACGAAGCTCTTCGATTCTTTCCATAAAGTTTGTCACGCTACCTTGGCCATTGAACTGAACATTCCACTTTGAAATCGTCACAAAACTACGAGTATAATCAGTGGGAAAATTGAAGGGTGACTGGGATGCATCATTCAAATGTAGTTGACGTAACCTAGGTTCTGCCAAGGTTGAATGTAAATTATTATGACTGACTATTGGTATGGGTTGGGGCTGCGGATTGATCGCGGTCGGTTGGACATCCGGTATAATACTAGGGACCTGCTGTCTATCACTCAAAACTTCACGAATCATTTTGAGAACCTCAGGCCTACTGTAGGAGGCATCTGGTACCCTAATGGTATCAGTAACTGGATCTTTATTGGAGACCCCCTGTACAACATTGGGACTACTAGCCCTAGAAGTATTCGGTTTTTGTTCAAAGTCTCGAGGATGTTTACTATCAATGAGGTTGTCACTGTCTGGGGAAAATTCATCAACCTTAGGGACATACTTTGAGGAACATGGACGATTTGCCTCATCGGCAGTACTTGAAAAACCAGGTCGTGGTGCAGGACCATATAATTGGGACAAGAGTTCCGCATTATTTGTCCACTTAGTTGGTTGGACAACTGGATTAGGTTCATCCAACAATGACGACTGTTTATTGTCAGAAGATACCTCATTGGATTCTGGACTCTCTGAATTTGTGTCTTCCCCTAAAGTACAGTTTTGTAGAGATTGTTTCAAGTTACTGAGATTTTCTGTACAATGGGACACCATACGATTTATCAATGTCTGATGTTCTTCGGAAGTCACTCTATTCAAGCGACCAATGACATGAAGTAAACGCGTCTCAATTTTTTCATATTCATTTACAGCATTATTTTCATCAAACTTAGACAAAAGATCATCAAGTTCGGTAATTTTTGCTTCAAAAATCTGTACTTTCGCCACCGGATCTAAATTGCTCCCAATGAACGAACAACCCTCATCTAAT